ACAAAACACAGGCACACTAACAATGTTTATTATATTACATTTATCCATATTAAATATACTAACCTCACTCCTTTGTAACAACTAAGGCAAAAATGTAATTAATTCAGAAAATCTTTTCAGGACCCCACCTTGATGTTTCGGGACCCCACTTTGGGTCCCGACCCCAACTTTGGGAAACACTGCTCTAAAGTAAAGCACATTCATCGTCATTGAAGTCAGCTCCTCCAGAACAGCAGGTGTTTTTGGCAGTTTACTGGACGTTAACAGGTTGAACGCTTGTTTGGAAGAACATGGCAGTACTATTTACCTACGTATGCAAAGTTGCATTCAAATGAAGCAGGGGACTTCTGGAACAAGGTCTTTTGTACAAATAACCAAAGTACAAATGATTACCCATATTACACAAAGTCATGTTTGTCAAAAAAAAAAAAAAAACAACTGCAAATCAAAAAGAACAACTTAAACCAACTGTTAAGCATGGTTTAATCTAGTTGAAGATCTGTTGTGATGCTTTGAAGTCTTAAAAATGACAGCTGGTTTCCAAACATACTTCCTGTCCTCATTTCAGACCCAGACGACCGATCCTACCCAACAAAATGTTTCCGCTGCTGTGTGTGAGTAAGACTTTTGACTTCAGTCATTCAGCAGGGACATGTCTACTCTGTTGTCTTACCGCTGTATCCGTGTTTGCAGGGGCAATACCTGCTTCCATCATCCTGTTCATCATATTCACCTTGATCATCTTCAAAATGAAAAGAGCAAGAGGTTCGTGTCTTGACATAAAACACAAAGTCTGACTGGGAAGYGGTGAAAACTTGTTTGGAAAGTGAATTCACAGCTAAGATTAGGGTTGACGTAGCGAATAAATCTAAACGCAACATTAAAAGTAACTTTTGCCGTTGTTTATCCCAGGTCAGTGCGCCGACATGTGCTTTAAAAGACGGCCTTCGTTCTCCAATCAGGGTTTTGCTCCCATCTACTCAGCGAGTAACACCGACGACCTGGAGGACGTCCTCGGTGAGTGGRAACTGTTGTGTCTGTTTTCATGTTCAGACAAACTTTTGAGTCAGAAGGTGGTTTTTACACTGCAGACGGGATTTTTTTTTTAAACTTTCTCCTGAGTTTACTTTTTATTCACAGTATTCTACACTCCGCTCTGCAACGATGGTTGCATCTTGAGCTATAGCAATTAAAAAAAACTTTTACGGTTTCTTTGAATTCAGATAAGATTTTATTCATGGTTGTTCTGTTGATGCTGGCAAAAAATAATAAGAATAAGAATAAGAATAAGAATAAGAATAAGAATAAGAATACTGTAAGAATAAGAATAAAAGACTGGTTCCAGAATTTGTATACAGAACGAAAGGAAAAAATAGACATCCAAGTGAGTTTACAAAGATCAAGTGTGAATGAACCCAAGTTCAATGGCTGGTTTTCATCAAAAAACACTGTTAGAAATTCTTCTGAAGTACAGAGCAGAACCAGAACATTTTGACTGAGTTGATAAAAAAGTCAAGCTGAACTTGACTCCATTGAAATGTGTTGGAAAGTTTTCCACATAAAGTTTGTTTGTACTGACAAACTCTCTGGGTTCACGAGTCCAGTTCTTTAATGGGATGCTTGGAATGTCCGGTTAAAGGGAACATATTATGGAAAATCCATTTCTCCAGCCCTTAAATGCATTTTGTTCTGTAGTTGGAGTCTCCAGAAGTGCAGAAAGTTTGAATTTAGTCTCTCCCAGTGCTTGTTAAATATCTTTATATTGTTTTTTGGTCACATTTTTCAACATGTTGAGTGTTTTCTATTCTCTATGACATTTTCTGAACTATTATGTCAAATTATTATCTTTCATTATATCTCAAATTATAACCTAATATGTTTGGACTTATTAACTACAATTTGGTCCTGTTCATTCTCCTCTGGCTCCAACATGTGAAGCTGGATGGACAAGTCTTCCCTTGTTGACAATTTTAAATTAATTAGTAAATAAAAAAAGTTTCTGCGCAGCTATATAGTGGTTAGCCCCACTGTAACGGACCTCTCTGGAAGCTGGAGTGGGGCGGGGTGTGAAGCGCCTCGTTCGGATTTAAAGAGACCGCTTCAAAACGAGTTGATCAGAGAAACACTTTAGAACAGGAGTGGTAGGGGCTTGTGGAGTTACAACGAAGAATTCAGACTAAAGCATTGCAGTTCCACTTTATATAGACCTCCCAACTGAATGATTTCAATTTGAAAAAGGATTATGTCTCCTTTAAAGTGTTTCTCCAAACGTTTTGACGTACAAAAGTAATGAACAATGAGTATCTTACCTGTTGGTCTTCAAAGCATCTTAACTGAAGTAATGTTCACTGTGTTAACTGTGAAAATTTGAACCCCAAAAACATCCATAAAGTTGAGGGAGGCTTTTATTATACATGGGAGTAAATTTTGATTGATTTTTTGCTATAGTACTACCACAATAAATTTTGATATTTTCTCATGTAACACTGAAATATTGTGTAACCACTATAAATCATCATCTGTTTTTCCACTATAAAACACGTTGTGCAAAGCTAAGCTTATAAGCAACAAGATTTTTTTTTCTTTTTTTTAGTGTTACCTGCAGAGATAAAAAAAAAAGAAGATGTGGACATTAGTTGAACAGTCGTATGAGAGCTGTCCAGTTTGCTAATTTAATAACTGGCTCCTGTTCTGGAAGCAGATTGAGCACAAGCAGGAGCTCACACTGTTCCTTCACTGCCAAAAACACACTCCCACAAGTGTGTGTCCCCAGACACACGCTTGTGTGTTGTTCATAACTTTTGTACTTCAAAACATTTGGAGTAACCTCATAATAATTTGGGGTAACATCGCACACCAGGGTTCAGTTTTTACATTCATTTTAAGCTAAAAACAAAAAAGAGGGATCGCTAACAGCTAACMGCTAACTCAATCAGGGCCTAAACCAAAGTAGACTGATGTTGTCTTGGAGGATTTCTCCACTTTATCTCAAACCTTTATCACCAGGGTTCTCAGGTTTTGACCTGAGCTTGGAGTGAGATTTCGAGCTGCTGAACTGTTGCCAACTCCTCAGTGAGAAAAGTTGTTTTTGGCATCCTAAAAGCTGCTAAATGACATCATTGTCTGACTTGCATGTTTGGGTTTTTGCCAACAGTTGTGATCTGGGTTGTATGGTATTTATTGTAGGAGAAAACTGGGTAACGGGGTCCTCCCCCCTAAACATTTTGACTGAAGTAGATGCCATTTCCTGCATTCTGGTGTATTTTAACAGGTTGTTAAACAGACCTTTACCTACAGAAGTAAACACTTAGTGTGAGTATTCTACAGGTCAAGTGAAAGGGGTTCTCAAACACTTTGGGTCTGGGGATAAACTTTCTTTATCTTAATGATAAAAAGACAGAAGTCATTTTATTCGGCAACTCTGATAAACTGACAGGATGCAGTAGTGCTGTTGGACCACTGGATCCTTTGTCTGGCCRTGTGTCTGTTAGAAATCTTGGGGTGTTTTTGGATTCTGATTTTAAATTTAAAGAACAGGTCAGTGCAGTAGTCCAGTCTAGCTTTTATCATTTGAGACTTATAGGTAAAGTCAAGGATTACCTGCCTCATAATGCCCTTGAGAGGGTAATTCATGCTTTTATCACTTCTAGACTGGACTACTGCAACTCTCTTTATTGTGGGATGGATCAGTCTTTGGTTCGTCGTCTACAGCTGGTTCAGAACTCAGCTGCCCGTTTATTAACAGGGACAAGACGTCGCGAACACATCACTCCGATTTTGTATTCTCTTCACTGGTTGCCTGTTTCTTTTAGAATTGTTTTTAAGATTTTGTTTTTAGTTTTTAAATGTCTAAATGGTTTGGCACCTCATTATCTTACTGAGCTTTTACAGCCTCACATTCCTAATAGATCCCTGAGATCTGTAAATCTAAAGCTTTTAGTTGTTCCCAGGTCTCGGCTTGTGACCAGGGGAGACAGAGCCTTTTCAGTTGCAGGACCTCGGCTCTGGAACAAYCTCCCACTGTCTGTGAGGTCTGCTGGGTCTCTAAATGAGTTTAAGTCTTTGTTAAAAACTCATCTGTTTAAACAGGCATTTGAGTCTGAAGAGCAGGATCATTAGGCCAGCCTTTGCTGTTTTGTTTGATTTTATTGTTCATTTTATTACTGTACTTTGTTCGTTGTTTTTATTTTATGCTCCTGTACAGCACTTTGGTTTTTATTGTGCTTTATAAATAAATGATGATGATGATGATGATGATGATGGGGACCCCTTACAAGGGTAAAAAAAATAATCCAGGATCCCCTTCATAAAAGCCATGCTGTTTTAAAAATAATTTACTGACATTTTAATGCCTGAAGTCATTTACGGTTGCTGTGGCTTCAGAAGTTCGGCTTTTTTTTTTCTAGTACTTTTGTATGAATATAAAGCTGTGGTGATGTTTTAATTTGTTTTATTGTKTTTATATGAAGTGCTTTGTGATTTTAAGGTGCTATATAAATAAACTTTACTTAGACTGTTAGGAGTAGCTGAGAGTATTTATTTATTTAATTCTTAAAAACAACAAAAAACATTAAAAAATCAAAGTAAATCAATTATTGAATGAAAAAGGGTCATAAAGAAGAAAAAAAATTATATCTGCCCCTAATAAAAAACAATTTACTCCAAGCACTAACATCATGAGGTCTTTGTTATAAATTCTGACCTGCAGCCCTGCTTTAAAATTAGCCGGTTTGTCTCTTTATGTAACATGACTGATGCTGATCCAGTGGTTTGCAGGTGATGTGTCTCACATGCAGCATGAAGACAGTTTTTTTTACATCATTCGTCTGCGCAACAGGTGGAAAGGTGCGGTTTGAGTTTGGGTGTCACGGGTTGTCTCGTGTCACGCAACCACAGCTTTTTATAACGGTGCGCAGAGCGGTCCGGTGACTGACAGGACCGATCAGCTGAACGCAGCGTGCATTTGTGCAGGACTCCCAATGCAGGGGTAAAAATAGAAAAAATAGGCAGAGATGGATGTTTTTAGGCCGATTGGAGCGGCCTGTCCAGCCAGAGAAGCATTGAGCTGCTCATTCGTTCGTTTTTTTAAAAAAATGCRTGTGTACATTTGTGTGTGCGTGTGTTTTAGCATGAGAAATTCAAAGTGTGGCGTGTGCACGTCCTGAAATTCGCGTGTCTCACGGTCAGTGCRTACGGTTTGGATTATTTATTTATATTTTTATTCACGAGTCACAAAATGCAGGTTTATGTTGATAATGAAAAAGTATTTCTATTAATCCATGTTTGCTTCCATAATATGATGCGTGAGACTTGTGAGCCCTTATCTATAGTTGGATGTACACTGCCTGGCCAAAAAATAAAAATAAAACATAAGTAAGTCGCCAACAAAAACAAAGGTCACACTCTAATATTTTGCTGGACTGCATTTAGCTTTTATTACAGCACACATTCACTGTGGCAATGTCACAAGATTTATTTACATCCAGTGTTGCGTTATTTTCACCAAGATGTTGCATTGATGATGTGAGTCTGACCGCTGCACAAATCCTTCTTCAGCACATCTCACAGATTCTCAATGAACTCCGTGGAGCCAATCCATGTGTGAAAATGATGTCTCATGCTCCCTGAACTACTCTTATAATTCCAGCCCAATGAATCCTGGCGTTGTCATCTTGGAATATGCCATCAATTCCACTGATGGAATAAGCTGGTCAGTCAGTATATTCAGCTGACCTCATTCTTTGAGCACACCCTGTTGCTGAGTTTAGACGTGACCAGCTGCAGCCACCCCACATCATAGACATTAGTTAAATCCAGGTTGGGACTTTTCTTTTTTTGGTGGCAGTGTGTAATCCCTCCAACAGGTTCTGGGTCTGCCCCAGAGGCCTATTGCACAAAAGTCAGATTCTAAATTCAGGACATGAGCTGTAAGCCAAGGTTGAACAAGCTTTCATCTTGTAAACAGCTGTAATCTGTTGCACGAACACAAAGCTGCGCTCAATCAGGGTGCTTCATTCAAACCAGCTGTAAATACTGTAGTTTAGGATTAATGCACTTCATTTGTTTACTAGACCCACTGGGTGGATCAAAGATTTCCTGATCAGGCATGTGCAGTAAGACAMGTGAGTCTCACTTTTTCCAGGAGTTTAATGGTTGTTTATGTTTCATATGAAGAAATGAAGAGAAACACYGACTGATGCTGAAATAATTTCAAAAGTAAAAACTTTTTATGGTGCTGAATCTGTCTGTAAATTATCTGGGGGTTGGGAGGGGTTAGACACTGAAGCGCTGAAGTGGGGAGGGGTGGGGGGGGTGAGTCGGGCCCAGTGTGGGGGCGTGTGTGTTTGGGGAAGACAGGGATGGGAAGGTGCCGTGGTGGTGGTGGTGGAGGGGTGTGGCCTGCAGCAGGCACATAAGGGTGGGTGGGACTTGTCATATTATTTTAGACTATTTTAAAGGTGAAGCTGAGGTTAAGTCTTTTTTTAATTATTCTTTTTCATGGATAATCTGATAAATAAATAAAATAAACATATTTACTCTAATATTTTAATGCAAAGAAAAAAGTATAAATTTAAAAAGTGTCTGAAGAGCTGATTTCTGATCAGACACTACATAAATTAGCCATCTAAAAATAATTTAAAAAATACTAGATTACACCCTTATTCTTTTCAAATTAATACTAATTAATAATCTGCAGTTTGACAGTTGCACTTGACTTCTTGAAGTAAAAAAAAAACTTTTCAGATTAATAAGATTAATAATCCAACAAATTCTGATCTTGTTTAGTATATGGGTCTAAAAACAAGATCAAAATACTTTTTAGCTGATATAAGACTGTAAAACCTGGTTAGAGGAACGTTGTTCTGCAGTAAAATGACTCTACTGCTCAAAAACATGAACAGATTAAAYAAGCTTCACTTTAAACTTGGTCAGGACCTGGTTAGTTTCAGAGCACATGTTAMCACAGAAATATAAGTGCTTTGTTTTTCATGCAACCGATTCAAGGCTTAATTAATTCAGGTTTACAACAAAATCCCGGGTTAATCCCTTATCCAGTTTTGTGCAATAGGCCTCTGGTGTCCTTTCAGTGGGAAATGCCCAGGAGACCTTTRAATGTCAACTGTGACAGCCCTACAACATCCACATCCTTTAGCATGTTGCGGTACCTCTGTGATCTTCGCMATGATAATGAACTTCCCACCGAGTCGTCAGGCTCTGCTCCATCAAAGGTGGATACGGAGGTCAGATTAAGGAGATGCTCAAAGTGAAACACTCAGTCTGGGTCAGCAGCCTGGTACGATGCCTGCCTGCTATCTATTTCTGTGACGTTTTGCCAGATCTCCAAGGAGCTAACTGAATGTCCTCCTTCATARTCAAATTCCTCCCATTCTTGGGAAGACGTGGGAAGAACTGAAAGAGTTTGTGTCACAAATTGTCTTCACTCTTCATTTGAATACTACTGCAGGAACGTTTGCATCATTTTCTAATGACTTTATTGCAGCAGAAAACTTGTGATATTTAAGCAAGAAATGCCCCGGACTAAACAGGAAGTTGGGGTTCTTTTGTGTGTGCTTGTAAAAACACAGAATTCTGTGAAATTACAAATGATGTAGATTTAATGTTTTTTTTTTCTAAAACAGTTTTTGCAAGAACTCATAAATTTGTAGGATAGAGGTTGTTGGTCTTGGCTTGTGTTTGGTTTATATCAGATAAGATATGAATTGTTCATAATGTCCTGATGCATCTCAGTAATCCAGGTAGAAAAAATCAAAAAGAAAAAATAAGTAGATCCTCTGGATGGGTTCTTCTTTACTGAAACGTTTCATCTCTCCTCCAAGAGACTTCTTCAGTCTGATGAGTTTCAGGTGAACTCAGCCTTATAAACACTGCCTCCACATGGACAAACAGGTTAGTCATATGCAAAACAGGGCCATCGCCTAACAATAGGCTTGATTAGCTCTATTGTTCACAGAGGGTCATGTGCCCCATCATCTGACCCGTGTCGTGTTATGTGAATGTAGTGAATGCAAGCAGGGGTTCAACGTCCCTTTGTTTTTTTTTTTTGTCCATCTTTCCCTCTTTGTGTTGGTATCATTGGGGCCCTGATTCACACCTTTTGCTCACAGGGGGCWGAGTCATACTTGCAATAACAGCCTTGTAGGAGGAGGACAACTGGAAATGAAGACCTCCAACTCTGTTTAATGG